CTCCTCCTCCCCGCCTCCTCCTCCACCTCCTACCTCCTCCTCCTCCTCCTCCTCCTCCTCCTCCTCTCCTCCTCCTCCTCCGCCTCCTCCTTCCTCCTCCTCCGCCCCCTCCTCATCATCATCCACATCCTCATCCTCATCCTCATCATTATCCTCCAGTATTATCAGTTGATGTATTATTACTGGCTTCTTAGGATTAGTCTTTTTCCTCCTCTTCCCTCAAGCCAACCAGGCTCGAACATGTTGCACGAGCCCCATCCCTGCACCTTCATCGGGGTGCTTCAAGGATAGCTTCGCGAGTCCAGCCACACTGATCAGGCTAACGAAAGCAGGGATGCAAGTGGAGGGAGAGCGCCCTTCCCGCAGCAGCAGTCGCGGCGCTCGGCCGACAGCTCGGCCGCAGAGCAGATGCGCGCACTGCAAAGCATGCGAGTACAGTGGCAAGCTGGCTCTTGGTCCAAGTGTCCGACCTGCAGCAAGAAGATCCGCATCCGTGTGCCGAGGTCCCCAGGTCGCAGCGCGTCCTTCGACGATCGCGTCAAGACCTTCATGCCAACGATGGACAAGGGCGGCCAGAACGGCATCAGAGGCAGAGGCAGTCAGCCTGGCTCGCGCGCACGCAGCCCCAAGAGAGGCAGCGCAGCGGATGAAGGGGCCCTGGGACACACAAATAAATACACACAAATAAATGGATTCCCCATATTTCCCAATATTTTCTGGGTTTGTGTCTTCCCCCCTATTTTCCCATATTTTCCTGGGAGTGGGCGATTAATTGTGTCTGTGTGTTTTTTCCCCTCCTGAAAGGAGCAGAAGGCTGCCTAGGACTTCGCGCGCGCGGAGGCTGACAAGAGGCGTGCGACGGGAGCCTCGGCAACGGCAGCGGAAGTAGCAACATCGGCGGCGGCGTCTGGCTCCCAGGCGCCGCTCGGAGATCTTCGATCCGTGTGGGCCTTCGGATTGTGGGGAATCGCCCAAAGTTCAGTTACGCGAGTTGAAAAAGGAGGTGGGATTATGATCGTTGAGCTTGTGGGTCCAAAGATGTGCAGATTCGTCCTCTTCTTGCTAAAACTGACGAGTGTGAGGAGAACGTTGTGGATCGCATGATGAAGACGAAGAAGAAGAAACATAAGAAGATGAAGAAGAAGAAGAAGATGAAGAAGATGAAGAAGAAGAAGAAGAAGAGAATAGCGAGACGAAGAAGAGGATAATGGGCACGGATGGCGAAGCTGTGGCGAACAACACCGACGAGAGGTAATCCAGGGAGCGCGGCCGGAGAGGCCCAAATCTGGAAGCCAGAAGCCGGAAGCGGAAGCTGGAAGCCGGACGCCCGCAGCTCGAAGCCGGGAGCAAGGAGCAGGAAGCCCAAAGCCCGGAGCCCGAACCCAGAAACTGAAGCCCGAAGCCGGAAGCCGGAGAGCGCGGCCGGAGAGGTCCCATCGGGCAGCCAGAAGCCGGAATTCCGGAAGCCCGAGGCCGGAAGCTGGAAGCGGGGAGCCGGGAGCCGAAGTTGGAAGCCGGAAGCCGGGAGCCGGAAGCCCGAAGCCGGAAGCCGGAAGCCGGAAACCGGGAGCAAGGAGCTGGAAGCCGGAAGCCGGAAGCCCGAAGCCCGAAGCTGAAAGCCGGAAGCCAGAAGCCGGAAGCCAGGAGCCAGAAGCCAGGCAACCAGAAACTGGAAGCCGCGGAAGCCAGAAGCCGGAAGCCAGGAGCCAGAAGCCAGGCAACCAGAAACTGGAAGCCGGAAGCCGGAAGCCAGAAGCTGGAAGCCGGAAGCCGGAAGCTGGAAGCAGGAAGCCGGAAGCCGGAAGCCGAAACCGGAACCCGGAAACTGAAGCCCGAAGCTTGACGCCCGAAACCGAGGGGCGCGGCCGAAGAGGTCCAATCGGGAAGCCGGAAGCCGGGAGCCGGGGGTTCCCAGTCGAGGTGCTGGGGATGGAGCTGCAGCAGTGCATGGTGGCACGGTGCCCACGGCAGTCGGGGGGGCTACTCAGCCGCCCTCGACCCGACGAGGTCGGCGGTGCAAGGCCTTCGTTCAGGCACTCGTCTCGCAAAGGCAGTCACGTTCTATATCATGGCGTGCACCACCACCACCGTACATGTACACATTTCGCATAGGTTGTGGATTGAGCTAGGTCGCTAGAGGACCTCGTCGAGTCGTCCGCGATCGGCTAGCCGCCTGCCCGAGGGAGACACGTCAACTCATGGAGAAGGACGGCCTCAAGATCTCCCCCAAGAGCGTCGTGGTGCGCAGCAAGCTCGCCGATGCCAAGGAGGTCGTGAGGCGCCTCAAGATGTCAGGTGTCACGGTCACGGCGGCGGCCCAGACTCCATACCTTGGCGTGGATCTAGAAGGAGGGCGCAAGCATGCGCGTACAACAAGGACGACACGCATCGCCAAGCATAAGAAGATGCAATTCAAAGTAGCTAGATATGCGCGCACGGCACGCAGGTATAGGTTGACAGCGAGGCTGGAGCAGCAAGGCGCGAAGCCAGCAAGCACCCGTGCTCATCACGTTCACGGAGTCTTCGGCCAGAGGATGAGGCTGATGCGGACTTTCTTGCGTGATGCCACGAGAGCCCTAGGCTGACGGGGCGCTGTGTCACGACGCTGCTGGACCTGCGCGCTCAAAGGCCCCGCACAGCATGTCGGCGACCACGAGAATGGTTGCAGCTAAGGATTCGGTCGTGGCGCTCTCAACTGTCAATCAGAGGTGGTGTCGAGCGAACATGGAGCAGATCGTACAAGAGCTTCGCACTATGCCCCCACAGCTTCGCAGTCGACACCTTCGAGGACCTCAAGCAGCAGTGATCGGCCACCTCTTGCATGAGGGTTGGGAACCTGAGGGTCCAGCGAACTGGCGCGCTGGCGATGACGGTTCGGGCTTCCAGCACAACTGGCAGTTCAACTCTGATGCTCTCACAGGCTTCGCGAAGGTGGACGTGCCAGAAGCTTTCCTGCAAGAGTACAAGGGTGCTGTCATGAAGAGGCTGTGGCGCGAAGCAGCAGGCCATTTCGACAGCGCTGGAATGCAAGATGGAGCGTGCAACTGTTCATTTCGAGAATTTCTCCGTCTACTGCAGACAGGCCCAGGCGGCAAATGACGTTTGGGACTTCTTCTGTCAGCAGCGGCAGGAACTGCATGTCCACGAGACAGGAGATCGGAAAAATCAAAGCAACCAATCTCTCAGATGTTTCATTTTTTTGTCGAGCTGAGCGAGAGACGTCATTTCACAGGATCTGGAGTGGTTCGAAGTGTACCGATCCGGATATTTACAAAATGTCTGACGAATATGCGCCACGTGCCCACGCACAATGTGAGGTCGAACCATGCTTCTGGCACTGGGGCCTTTTGCCCAAGTCATGGGCTGCCGTCCCGCCAGCACAGGGGGAGCCTGAGTGGTCGAGCGAGGGTATCGAGGCGCTTGAAGATAACTGCTTCGATTGGGGATTGCAGTTGGCCCCCGTCTTCCTCTTCGGGGACGCCAGCGGGGGCGAAGATAGCAACGACCCTCGCCTCCGACGAGTAGGATGTGGCATGGAAAATATGTTCTGAGCTCGCCGAGGATATGCAGTTAGAAGCTTCCGTCTGGGGAGGCCGCCTGCCCCGCGTGTCTGCGAGGAAATTGCTTCTCGGCACTCGCTGCCTGAAAACGGTCGCTCTTGTTTGAAGTGTACAGTCACCCCGGATAGTCAGAATGCGCGATAAGAGTGCAAGGGCCTTGGGCGCCCCTTTCGAAGCGTTTCGAGCGGGGCGCGGCCAGCGAAAGCGGCGAAGGACGGACCGAGGAGGCAAGGATGCAAGGGTACCTTTGGGAAGGTTGCCCATGCTTACTATGCGGGTTGACTGTATGAGTTCCACGTCCAAAGCTAGGCGAGAGTTGTGGTTGATTGTCCCGTGCTTCGACCTAAGGGCAATGGATGGCGTCGTGTTCAGGCCTCCCCCCCGTTGCAAGGTGCACATCCGTGGGGGGGTGGGCTGATGAGTCCCCTTCGGTACGGTTTCACGCTGGGCTGGGATTTGGTGATGTGATACCTGCGGAAGCTTTGCGGCCCAACAGGTGACCCAGCTTGGCAAGAGGTGCGTTGGCAGAGCCGAAGGCCATCGTGCCGATCACTTGCGTAATATTGCTCGGTGGGTCTGGCCAAAAGCTTACAGCAAAGCTGATAAGGCCAGACGAGAGGCACTCTCTGTTTAAGCCCTTAAAATAACCGGCATCGTCGCAGCATAGGTAGCTCCGCAATCCCTCCTCCTCCTCCTCCGCCTCCTCCTCCTCCTCCTCCTCATCATCATCATCATCATCATCAGCATCATCATCATCATCATCATCATCATCATCATCATCATCATCATCATCATCATCATCATCATCATCATCATCATCATCATCATCATCATCATCATCATCATCATCATCATCAGCATCAGCATCAGCATCAGCATCAGCATCAGCATCAGCAGCATCATCATCATCACCATCATCACCATCATCATCGTCATCACCATCACCATCACCATCATCATCGTCATCATCGTCATCATCATCAGCATCATCATCATCGTCATCAGCATCATCAGCAGCATCATCATCAGCAGCATCATCATCAACATCATCATCATTATAATCAGCATCAACAGCATCAGCATCACCATCATCATCATCATCACCATCATCCTCATCATCATCATCAGCATCATCATCATCATCATCATCATCATCACCACCATCATCATCATCATCACCACCACCACCACCACCACCATCATCATCATCATCATCATCATCATCATCATCATCATCCCCCTCCTCGTCCCTCCCTCCCTCCCTCCCTCCCTCTCTGCCACCCCCTCCCCCCTCCCTCTTTCCTTCCGTCCTCCCTTCCTTCCTTCCCTCCTTCTTTCCTTGCGTCCTTCCTTCATTCCTTCCTTCCTTCCTTCCTTCCTTCCCTCCTCCTCCCTCCTCCCTCCTCCCTCCTCCCTCCTCCGCTTCTTCCTCCTTCTTGCGGCGGCGGAGGTCCGGCTCGAACTCTTGCGGCGGCGGCGGGGGCATGTGCAGGAACGGCGGGGATCCGCCGAGGCGGACGGCGGACGAGGCCACGCCACGCTGGCCTGCCAGCACAGCAGAGGAGGGAGGAGGGGGGGAGGAGGGAGGGAGGGAGGGACCAGGGAGCGAACGAAGGCGACCTCGTCCCGCCCACGATGGGCCGGCCGTCGACACATGGTCGACTCTGCTCGACTGAAAGAACCAACAGCGCAGCCAGGGTCGCCTCAGGAGCCCCTCGAGGACGGGGGTGGCGGCCCTGGGAAATGGGGACAAGGCTCTGCTGGTCCTTCTGAGACCTCCTCTGGGGACCGGGTTTAGCCAAAGGCCGACCGTCGATCCCCCTTCGAGTCGCGTCCTCAGCCCCCTCTCGAACGCCCTCAGCGCGGTTGTGATGGTGATGATGGTGATGGTGATGATGGTGATTCTGGATGTGATGAGCACCACCATCATCACCATCACCATCGCCACCACCATCAGCACTACGATTTGATAACCACCATCATTACAATCGTCGTCGGCATCAAAACACAAAAACACTCAACCAACTCAACCTAAGCCCGCCCTAAAGACAGCCAGCAGCCCCCTCTCGAACGCCCTCCCCGTTCCCCTCGCGCTGGCGCGCGCTCCGCCATGGGCCGCCCCGCGGGCCTGCCCGGGCGAGGGCCTGCTGGCGCGCGCGGAGGAGCAGCATCGTCATATACGCCCCTTTCTCGCGGCGGGCGCTGCGGGGGGGGGGGGTCCTCGTGGCGACCGACGGTCCAGTCCTCCTCCTCCTCCACCTCCTCCTCCTCCTCCTCCTCCTCCCTCCTCCTCCACCTCCTCCTCCTCCTCCTCCTCCTCCTCCTCCTCCTCCTCCTCCCTTCCTCCTCCTCCTCCTCCTCCTCCTCCTCCTCCTCCTCCTCCTCTCCTCCTCCCTCCTCCTCCTCCTCCTCATCCTCCTCCTCCTCCTCCTCCTCCTCCTCCACCCTCCTCCTCCTCCTCCTACTCCTCCTCCGCCTCCGCCTCCGCCTGCGCCTCCTCCTCCGCCTGCGCCTCCTCCACCGCCTCCTCCTCCACCGCCTCCTCCTCCTCCTTGTTCTCCTCCTCCTTCTCCTCTTCTTTTCCATATAAATAACTGTTCCCTGTCGCACCCCGAAGCCAGTTTTTAGGGCGGGCCGGGCGTTTCGCATGAGACTTCCTCATCGTTTATGACCCTGAAGCTTCAAAATTGACAGCACATTCGCACATGTGGCTCTCGCCTTAGCGCCGCGCACATTCGTGTTAAGCATTTACAAGAGATTCACAGATTAAGGGGACACGTTTTCAAAATGAAGCTATCGCCTTAGCGCCACGCACATTCGTTTTAGAAATGTGCAACAGTTTCACGGATTGAGGGGAACGTGGCTCTCGCCTTAGCGCCGCGCACATTCGTTTGACAGATTGAGGGTGTTTTTTGCAAAATGTGGCTCCCGCTTTAGCGCCGCGCACATTCATTGACGAATATTGCTAAGAGTTTCACGGATTCCCATGATCAAAGTACTAGAACTTGCGTTTTGTAAAGATTTTCAGGGTTACGAAGGCCAGTTACGTTCATTCGCGGTGTGGAAGTCCCAAGAATGGCGTTCTGGCACGATTCAGGGTCGTCCAAACGCAACAATCAAGTTGATCCGTGGCGTTGGAATCCCGAGAACAATGTTTTGGCATGTCTCAGGGTCTTCAAACAATTGTCTTCCACCGAGGCAGTTCCCTCAATGGAAATGAACCGTTGTAGGGGCCTATGAAGAAGGAGCTTGGAGGGAGGGTTTATTCCAACATCGTTGATGGCTCTTGGGTTTGCACGGGTCCGCCTCCTCCTCATCCTCCTCGTCGACCGCTTCCTCATCCTCCTCCTCCTCCACCTCCTCATCCTCCTCCTCCACCTCCTCCTCCTCTATCCCTGTCCCTGATAGATAAGTCATCCCTGTCGCACCCCCTGACGTGTCGGTGGGGAGGGCCGGGCGCTTCGCCCGCGACATCCTCACCGTTTATGATCCCGGAGGTTGCCGTGGGCAAAGGCTTCACGGATAGGGCGCGCGCGGGTGGTTTCGAAAATGTGTCTCGGGCTCAGCTCTCCTCCTCCTCCTACTCCTCCTCCTCCTCCTCCTCCTCCTCCTCCTCACCCCCCCCGTCACGACACGACCTTAGCCCCGCGCACATTCGCTTTGAAAGTTCGCAACAGCTTCACGGATGGAAGGCGAGCGGTGTTCAAGACGTGGCCCTCGACCTGGCGCCGCGCATTCTCGTCTTACGGGTCTGCGACAGTTTGACGGAAGGAGGGCGGACGTTTTCAAAACATGGCTCTCGCTTTAGCACGGCGCACATTCGTTTTAAAGTTTGCAACAACTTCACGGATAGAAGACAGCTCCATGTCAAAATGTGGCTCTCGGCTCAGCGCCGTGCACAGTCGTCTCAAAAGCTCCTCAAAGTGTCAAGGAATCGTATGATAAAAGCCCCACGAATGGTGTTCTGGCAAGACTTAGGATCGTCAGGACGCAGCAGACATGTTGGTCTGCGGTGTTGAACTCCAAAAAACGCCGTTCTGGCATGATGACGGTTTGTCAGGATGCAACAATCATGTTGATACGCGCCATTGACATCCCAGGAACTGTGTTTTGGCACGGTTGAGGATTACTAGACGGTTGTCGTCTAAGCCTCTTCTCTGAATGGAGGTAAGTTCTTGTAGGGGCCTATGGAGAGGAAACGTAGAGAGAGGGTGTATTGCAACATCGTTGGTGAGTCTTGAGTGTGCAGTGGTCCTGCTACTCCTCCTCCGACTCCTCCTCTTCCACCTAGTGGGGGGGAACCAACATCTGACTCAATCGATCTCACTATCGATCTCACTCAACGGGACACCATGGGACACCACAGGACACCACGGGACACCGCGGGACACCGCGGGACACCGCGAGCCACCGCCAGACGGCCGGACGGACGGGCGGGCGGGAAGAATCATTTGTCTTGACTTCGCCCTAGCAACGGCGGACACCACGGGACACCACGGGACAACACGGGACACCGCGGGACACCGCAGGCCACCGCCGGACGGGCGGGCGGGAGGGGGAGAATCATTTGTCTTGACTTCGCCCTAGCATCGGCGGACACCACGGGACACCACGGGACACCACGGGACACCGCGAGCCACTGCCGGACGGGCGGGCGGGAGGGGGAGAATCATTTGTCTTGACTTCGCCCTGGCAACGGCAGGTTCATTCCTCCCGCGCGCCCACGCAGCTTCGCCTCGCCCGCACGCACGACACGAACGAAACGAAACGATTTCTCGGTTGGGGGTCTCCGTTCCACTGCGATCTCACCCCCCAACCTCCGACATTACCACCTAGCTGGCAGATAGGGGCATCACCAAAGGGAGTCCATGCAGCCTGTTTAAGATACAAGATCTGCGCCTCTCCACCCAATATAAACGTTTGGGCACCGAGTATGTAAAACACATGACACGCCTTCCCCACCCGATATGGACGTTTGGGTACCGACATTGTAAAACGCATGACAAGAATGGGACGCGGAGCACATCGCGCGCGAAAGAGCGAGATGCCGTTCTCGCCTCGGCACCGCGCTCACCTTCCTGAGAATTGGCCACCCGTCGTTCTCGCCTCGGCGCCGCACAGATGCCGCCTGAAAGTAGCAATGCTGCCTCGGCGCGGCGCATACTGATCACTAGCCAAGAATTGTCCCCTCGCCACGGCTCTATGCACATTACGTTTGGCAGTGGCGTTCCCGCGTGGGCGCGACGCATATGTCGCTCGCTGAATCGCATGAAAGCGGCAGCGCCAACGGGGTCGCGCGGGAGCAGGCGAAATACTGACCTCGCCCAACCACCGCGCAGCTTGTGCGTGAAAATGGTAGCGCAATTTCGGCAATGCGAATGCTTCGGCACGGCGCATGGTTCGCCTGCGCCGCCCGCATCGGAAATTTGGCGGCCCAAGAGAAACATGCTTTGTGACCCCGCAGTAGAATCGCGAACGGAGCTCCTGGACTTCCGCTCCCGCCTCTGCGCGGCCCGCGTAGCTGTCCCTTCGACAAGTCGTCGGAAGCTGGACCGCGCGCGAGCGTTTTCCTTTCGCTAGGTGGGACCGTGTTCCAATCCCAACATCAAGTTGTACACCAGTTGATTCGTACGTTATGTGAGGGAGGGTAGCTCGATGACTCGCTCGACCTGGCTATTATGCCTCACACCCATAGCCCCACTCCCCCCTCCCCTTCCTCCCCCTCTCTTCCTCCTCCTCCTCCTCCTCCTCCTCCTCCTCCTGCTCCTCC